CTATGGCTAAGCTGACGTACATTTCAAAAACAAAATTTACGAAAACAACTACTCTTCAGTGAAACTGTATGATCTGGATAAATAATAATAATCTTTGAAATAATTCAAAATGCCGTTAAAGCGAAAAATATTTAACCACGGTCCAGTCTCTCGCTACAAATGTAGAAGTTCGGAAATGTAGTTTCATCCTCCATACATCATGTGTTTGGGACGAATTGAGAACAGATGGTACTTAGCGTCGATGACGTAATAATCTACACAATGTTCAATGTTGGTATTAAATTATCTCGAATTATCTCTTGTTAAAACCACTTGCGCCAACCCAGATGACGGGAGTGAAGAGTCGATAGTAAACACTGTCATATAATTTGAATGAATATTTTGAAGTTGATATACAGAGCCCCTATGTACGTCGGATTGTTTAAATATGCAGGAACATCTTACAGGTGACTGAACCATACATTTTTACTCAATATTGTAATAATTAAGTAGTTATTTTTGCACGTTCGATCCTTTTTTACTACTTACCATGGATGCGATGAACCCAGTAATAAGTTGTACTTACCACCTATAGGCTGTGGAATTCACAAGGTACAGAACTAACGCTTATTTCTGAACGAACTTTTATTAGCTTAAAATTACTTCATGATTATTATTAAAATTCACTGTTATTCTGGAAGCTCCAAGTTCAACTTCAACTGATTTGCTTGCATCATTGATAATTTTTTTGTCATTTGTCATTTACCATTAAATACCCTTCATTAAAAGTGTTCAAAGAAATCGTGCACACACGTTCTGAAATTTTAGTAACAAAAGTTAGACCAGCAGTGGACTGTTCCCTTAACAACATCAACATTTCCATCATGCAAAATTTTATTTGCAAATTGCACCTTATTTTCAATTGATTTTTCTACGTAACTTTCCGCTACTCTGGAACTCTGCCAACCGGCGTGTCTTTTTAATGCCAACACATCAATTCCTATATTTGCGAAGAGTGGCGGATGTTCTTTTAAAAGCGTGACCAGTGTAGATCTTAAGATTCTCCTTTTCCAGGAAAGTAGCAATCTTAGAAGAAATATTTCTTATTGTGTTTTTTGCCACGACTTGATTAATACACCTTCCATTTTCATGCCTCCAAAATACCGGCACGAGCTTACATGTTCTGGTCGAAGACGGGCATATTTTCTGTATATCTTCACGAAGTGAATTTTTTTCATTTTCTTGATTGATAATCGTGAAGGTTCGTTGAATTTTACTTCCCGAGCGTAATTGTTTTAGTGTTTGGTATACGAACCACAATCACAGAACCATTGTCTTCAATGTTGTCTACTGCCATGTTACAAATTTCTTCCCTTCTGCACACCTCAGCTATACCCATTACCATTACGACCTAAACTCAATTATGAAAATGAAAAGTCAAGTTATGTTATCATATCAACAGAAATGTTTCATCTGGTACGTGTTTCTTCCGACCCTAAAAATGATTTTTGATGAAGCCATTCAGAAATTTGGACTACTATTTTGAAATGTGAAATCTTATTTCTTTTATATTAAATGTGATTTTTATGCCGAAAGGTCAAATGAACTGGCAGTCATTAATGCATCGATTTTAATTAATTTTTTTGTGCGGCAGCAGTAAAAGTAGTCCTTTTAATAATCCAGTTAAAAATGACAAGTTATGGAAAAGCGTATTACTTAACCAAATAAGTGATGGTAACGAAGAATTTCAACGGACAGGGGTCATTCATTTTCTTTAATCGTTAGAATCTATGAAATTTGAAAAACATATTTGTTTCACGTTAGGATAAAAATGTCATTTATATTTTTGTCGAAAGTTGCACACTTAATTTTGCGTAGTTTGAATTACAACAAAATCATCCAATGACGTACTACAAATAGTACTTTATTACTATTCACATTATTATTATTCAAAAATTAACGAAACGTGTTGGACACACTCCGATAAAAATTTGATACTAATGGTTGGTGAAATAAATCAATTCACATTATGTCAAACTTTTTAATGTTTTGCTTGTCCCTATTCTGTGCATCGTAAAATTAATAATTTAATTATGCACAGTATCGTTAAGTCCTATTTTTATTTTGGGGGAAACAGGATAAAAAAATTGGTCGAAGGTTATTTCAACAGAACTTACCTCCTGTAATACAGAACAATTTCAGCTTTTTCGAAAAATTATAAGATTTGATTTTTTTTCGTTATACAATTTTTGATGACATCTACATTTTTACAAGGACACATAAATCAGTGTGGATAGATGCAGTGTACCTAATACTAATAACTGTATTTCAAAATTTTCTGGAAAATGGAGTTGTTCTGGACCCTTCATTAAATTGCTTCATTCATTCATTTTTTGAGTCACTCCATATGAGTAATTCCAAAAATTATGAGTGCATTGATAAGTATAGAGTCATAATATTTTGCATTTTTCAGGGAGGATTTATTTGGCAAAATTTTGAGATGACGTCATCAATTTTTTGGGAGGGGATAAACGAATACATTTTTATTAACGATTTACGGCGATTACGATAACCCTAAATTGTTTGCAAGATTTCAGAGCATTCAGTTGTGCAGTTTCAAAGTTAAATTGCAAAATGTTACAGAATTTTGATTTTTTCCAAAAATCTGGGTGCTTAGGATGTAAACTCAACACGAATTTATACATGACAAGTGAACGAGTATCTTATTTTATAAAACTGAAAAAGTTATAATTGTAAATTTTGAAGATGACGTCATCCCATTCGTGGTGAGGATGATTAGCCAAATTTTTGTTAGCGTTATACAATCTACATAACATTCCTAATAGTAATATACACATAAAATTTTACAACAATCGGTCCAGTAGTTTCAGAGATTACGTATCTAATAAACATCCACACACATGCCATACAGACAAACAGACGGAAAAGGGAGATCACTTTTTCGTACTCCTTAGCTTAAGCTCAGGAAGTAAAAGGTAGCGGGCCACTGCTATGTTTATGTTTTCTCGACGTTTCATGACTCCTAGAATACGAAAACATAGGTCTCTCTTTTCCGTCTGTCTGCCTTCTGTCGTTTGCCGTCTGCCGGCTGTTGTATGTTGTTTGTCGTCTACAGTCCGTCTGTGTCGATAATTATTAGACAGATGATCTTCTAAACTACCGGACCGATTGTTGTCAAATGTTGTATGTATATTAGGAATATCGCGTATAAGTAAAACGCTAACCAAAATTTGTCTCCTCGTTCCCACCAATATGACGTCATCTCCAATTTTTACAGTCATAAATGTTGTTTAAATTTAATAAAATAACTTACTCCTCCACTTATGCTTTATGAATCCGTGTTGAGTTTTTTAGGATCCAGATTTTTGTAAAAAAAAATCAATTTTGTAAAACATTTTAACAATTTAACTTTGGAACTGCAAAACCGAAAGCTCTGAAGCATCGCAAAAGTTATCGAATCGTTAATCAACATTTATCCGTTTATGACCTCCCTAAAAACTATCCGTCGTCCCAAATTTTGCCAGATAAATCCTATCTAAAATGTAGGTATAAAATGTTGACAGGTTATGACTTTGTAAAGGAAAATTTATTTAAAACATACGCGTTACACGCTTCTTTACGTTTACTTGAACATTACATACCTACATATCTTTATTTTAACTTATAGGGATTCTTATAAATAAAATAAAATTCGCAAAATCAAATTTTATTATTTTTTTAAAAAGCAGGATATATTTTATTATATTTTTTCAGTGGCAAGGGAAGTTCTGTCGAAATAATTTTCGACCAATTTTTTAACACGTACATACAACTTCAAAGCAAAATACAACATTCGATTGATTTGTTTTTTAGAATTTGTTTATTAGTTATACTACAGAAATTGAAAAAAAAAAAAGTATCCAGAAAAGAGTATTCTTTAATGCGTTTCATAAAAAATACCGAATCATACCAATAAACAGATTTTAATAGATAATTTACCCTTTCACAAAAAGTTGAAAATGTAGGCTTTTCTTTATTAGTAAAAAAATATGAAGTACACACGTCTTAACAACAAATAGGACTCATTATAAGCAAATCCTCAGTCAGAATGATTTTTTTAGATCATTCATTCTTTAAATAAATGTTATACAATTTGGGTTATAACTATAGCAATTTAATTAAGACACATTTTGCAACTACGTAGTATTCAAAGTTGAAAGAACCTTAACTGAATCACAAGCAATACTTCTTCTTCGACTTCATTTAATTTGTAGTGGATGAATAAATAAATTTTAGTTCATTCTGTGTAATTCTTAATTTAAAATTAAATTTAAAAAATTTAAAATTTTCAGCAACATTTCAAGGAAGCCAGTTATATAGTTTTTGAGAAAAACACAAACATTTACTTTTATAAACTTATATTTTTCGAACAAGCGTAGAGATAAATTATTAATTAGCACAGGTAGAACAGCACGTCCTATTACATTTCACATAAGATTTACCATATTTAACGGTATTTTGAGATTGCGTTATTTTTAGAGGGATCAGTAGGCAGATTTTATATTGCGTTTATTATTTTCACAATTCGGAAATTATCTCCTTAATAAGACCGCCACAGACAGAAGACATTGGATGAAATCGATAAAATATGTATATGAGTATCTTTCAAATCTTATTTCTTGTTTTCAGTATGTTGTCTGTGAAGTAGTTCTTACTGAGGAGTATTATTTCTTTGTTTTTAATTTCCACGAACTTCGCGTGTTCGTGTGTTGAACACAGTTATTGAAATTTGTTCACTAATACAAATCGATACCGTAAGTGTCAAAAATAATTTCGACTTTTATCTTTTCTATATATAATACCGGTTCTAAAAATTGTTTTATTTTGCTTGAAGCTTCCTACACTTGGCCTTCCATGCCGGTTTGAAATATTCCCGGCTTAAAATAAATTATACCATTTTTGCGTTTGTCTGCACTGTTTTTGCATTAATTTTATAATGTTTTTATCATTTTTCTTTTCAGGGATGTCGGGTTTAACGGGCACGGAATCTTCTGCAGATTTGGATGGGGGTGGTAGAGCGCTAAAGTTACAAACAGACACGCCCCATTTAGTGAACATCGGTGGTGATCGCCTTAGTACTTCTGTTACACTCCATCCCATTCCTCAAGGTAGTGGTACAACTTTTTATCTACATTTTTAACATTTAATTATTTTGTGACATAAATTAACTTGAAACTGTTAAGTATGATAACACAACAAACCAGTATGTCGCATGATTAAATAAAATCAGGTAATATTACGCTGTGATAAAATCATGCAAGCTTAGCATTTTTCTTGTAGTGGAATTATATCTGCCATGATGCTCTACATGCGCTGATCAGTTATATAGAATATAATAAAAATTTGCAAATTTTTTAATGCGAATGAAATACTGCAGCCTGATGCATTTTTATTGACTTTTCACAGCTTGTACAATACGAAAATGTTGATTTATCATCTATTGGCCTCGTTATTATACAGATAATCCCGAAATTACGGGACTGATTTATTATCAAATTTTAGGTACATTTTAATATTATCGTGTAGATGATAAAGCATTACTACAATTGATCTATTCGTCACACAAAATTTCTATTGTACCATGCATCTTTATCTGTAATTTAGTATTCTATCTATGCATAATATAAAACAAAGCCTCCGTCTGTCTGGCTGTCTATCTGTACGCGATAATCTCAAAAACTACTGTACGAATTTTTATACGGTTTTCACCAATAGATAGAGTGATTTATGAGGAAGGTTTTAGTGTGTAAATTGTATAAAAAAACTAAATTCTAAACTTCAGATGTTCTATATGCAACTTCTAGGTTGCATATGTGTGCTACTCGTGCGAAGCTGGACTGGGTTGCTAGTGTATTCATACTTTTAGCCGGACACTCACCGATTATTATCGTACAAAAATAAATTTTGTAAAATGAAATTTTACCGTTTAGTCTTAAAACCCATGTAAAGAATTTTTTTGGAATTTTATTGAAACACTGATTTGGTGATTATAGAACATCTAAAAGATTATTTCATATTCCTTTCCAGGAAGTTAGTGATTACATGCAACAGATGCTATATGCCATGCCAATATATGATATTATTGGTGAATAGTCCTTTACGAATTTTATTTAACAAATAACAAGTGTAAATTCTAGGATAGAATATGACCGTTATACGTATTATGATACGTAACATTAATAAATACAATCATTTTAATTTAACTAACTAAAGGCACCGTAGGAACCCTCCCTGTTTAAGACAAAATGAAATCGAAATTAAAACGATACATAATTAATAATCGATCATAACCACGCAACTTGAAATTAATACATTTTTCTGTTCTTAATGGAACTTTATTAAAACATTTCAAACTTACAACCGTAAGTTTTCATTAATAGTAATATCTTTTTCAGAACAATAATTTTCTGTCATGGTTTTGTCTTAAATGAAAATCACTTTTGTTTTTTAAATGCAACAACATTTTTTCTGCATCCACTGCTACTGCTTCTTCAATAGACGATTAACACAGTAAAGCATAAAATACACAACATTTTCACACCGAATAAAAAATTGTTCTCACAACAGCTAAAACCACCCTAACTGCCGAAATTTATATTTATACTGCTCTGCAAGGTAAAAGAGTTCCAAACATTGCAGTGAGGAACTTACAAGTTGCGTTCACTTAAAAATTTTGATAGAAAATCATCTTATTGATAACAAGATAATAACATTTTCAAAAAATAGTAAGGAGGGGCTGTTTAATTGAAAGACAATTGTCTTCATTCCCAACAATGTGATTACTATTGCACTCGTTCCAAAATAATCCTTTGTTTTATGTATCCTTCATTGCGTAATTTGTTTCCTGTGTAGGTAGAAACAGTATTTATGGATCAGTTGAGATTAAACACTTTATATATTATTTGTTAAAATTCATAACGGGTGAATAAGATAAACAAAGATGTTGTGGTATGCATGAATAATGCTTTGTTAAGTACACTTTCTTATCACTGTTTATCTCTGGTAAGAATTTGAGGATATCCATTGCCTAACTCGTATAATGATTAATGATTGATAAATTTAATTAACCATTCAAATTTGTTTACGCATTGCGTGTGACTGTTTTTGTAATACCATTGTATGTTGTGGGATATTGTTCTATTTCCGTGTGGAGTTCCACACATACGTAACACATGCATGGTTTAAAGCTGAAAAACCTCTACATGTGCCGACCGAACCGTTTATTTTAAAAACGGGAAGAAACAAATCTACCAACGCTTTGATTACATAGCTTTTTTTAGACAAGCAGTTTTTTCTGTCTTAATTTTAGTTATGTTGTCAAATTGTATTTTAATAGATTGTCTTCATTTATTTTATACATGTTTCAGGTAGAGTGACAGTAGGATGTGGACCTGGGGTTGATATTAAAGTTCAAGGGACAGGAGTCCTGCCCTTGCATTGTCACATAGAAAACAGCGAAGGCGTCGTGACTATTTATCCCCTTTCTGATAATATTTCTATAGACGGTGCTAAAATTGATAGACCAACTCGTCTATCTCAGGGTAAGATATTTTTGTTTACTACAATTGTTAGGGCACATGAAGATAATCGTTATAGCTTTGATTACTATGATGATGTAAGCAGATGAACTGAGTCATATTCGAGTGAAATTAATGATAACATCAGTTAGTGACGCTGCGTTGAAAGTGGCAAGTTTTACATTGAATCTGTGTTTGATTGTAGTCATTGTTGTCACTAAACTATCCTCAAGGTTACAGAAAATTACTGCTATATTTTGGAAGGTACTATTAAACTTTTAAAAACGAATGCAGCTTGCTTTTTACTCCCTTTATTTATTATTTCTTCTAATGCCCGTATTATACCGCTAAAATAAATCTGCAGATTCAACATTGTATTGCCTAATTTTACCACAGTGAAAAAACATATATTTGTAAGTGAAACGTTAGTTAATATCAATGCCATGGTTAATTTTTAAAATAATAAGCCAATAAAATTGCCGACATAATTAATTTCTGCGCTATACAATTAGATTCATTTCTCAATAGACGTCTGCCACGAATTTTAAATTGTTCAGGATCAGTTTAAGTACAATGATATGTTATTTACAAATTTCAAATCTTATTTTTTTTACATGCATATTTTAATAATTTAGTACCTATTATATTTTTTGATACTGTAAAATTTGTTCTAAAATTGGTTTCCGCTGGACAATAAAAATATATTGTCATTATTATTGCTACTACTATTATTATAAACATCAACGTCACGAATTTATGTAAAATCCAAACATTGCAAAACAAAATTTCTTACTATAATATAACGAGCGATAAAAAACCCTCTAGTAACTTGTTGATTTGTCTTTTGTATGTATTTAATATTATATAGGAGTATTATGTACATTTACATATTATTTTCGTTTGTTAATACGTTTATTTAATTAATAAATTTAGAACCCATCAGCTTCCAAACCAGTAAACATTTCCTGATTCGCTTTTTAATAGAGAAGCAACTGAACGAAACACGGAAATCCAAGCGACAGCTGTTACAGTGACAATGAATCAGTGCATATGTGGTGGTTCTTTAGGACCTGCGTTCCCGAAAAAAAATTAACAATTAACTAGAGGTTTTTTTTATCGTTCGTTATATACATAATTGGCAAGAACTTGGTTGATTTTTCTTTACGAAAAATACTATATATTATAAATATAGCCAGCGCAACAAACCACGCTGGTTCTGATTCATATGTGGAGAAAGTTGGGTACGAATAATTTTGGTATTTTTTGTAACGTAATGTATTTTTTGTAACATCAAGTTGTTAAAGGTTGCTTTGTGGAGTGTTTGTTATAATGTAAACAACTTCTTAACGCGGCCGTAAAGACAAAATCACTATAACAACATAAATCTTATAAGCAATATAACGGGTGTCTAAGTAAAAACCTGGTCAAGAGGACTGCCTCCTATTTTATTGTTTTTTTGCGTATGTCGTAGTGTTTGTCGTCGTGTTCGAGACAGTTGTCATTTTGATGTCAAATTCAGTTTAATTCATAACAATCTACGTGACAAGCGGATGACAGCTTTCAAAATTCATTTCGGAAACGAAATGCAAAAAAACACAAGGTGATGATGACTTTTGACCAGGTTTTTATTTAGACACCCGATAGTATCGAGTGATTCTGATTATTAATGTTTCTGAGTTTTTCTGTCAAGTTGACAACCTATTTAAAATTTTATGATACCATACCTGATGTCAAAGTGACAGCTGCCATCTTTCTAACCGATCAACACGTTTGTTAGGCGTCCTTATGTCAACATTGACAACTAGGAACTGACGTACTATCATACTATCATAGATGCCAATAATTCAGAATTATTAACACAAAATTTGCTTCAATACTTAATAGTCAGGTGATATTTTACAGGAGCGTCCGATGAATCTGACAAGGCCGTAAGGCCTAAACAAACGTGTATTGAAGAATAGTTTTTGTAATATCCGTGCCACAGGTACATACATTTTAAAATTAATTTTTAATTTCGTTGACGTTGATGTTCTCATTGTAACGGTTGTTAGTGGAAAAGTGGCTTATTTCCGATTTCATTGATTATTATGAAATTTATGTTGCCGTAATGATTTAGTCTTTCCAACCGTTTTTATTTAATGGACGGCGTTGTTAATAAGAAGTTGTTTACATAGTAACTAACAGTCCTCAAAGCAACCTTTAACAACTACATCATAATTAGATATAGTTGGATTCATGTATCTTTTTACACACGTGACCAAAAGCTAACGTCCGAACCACAGACCGTCCGAACTAATAACTGTTACTTTGTAGTAATTAGTCAAAAAGATGACAATGTTCATAACGTCAACATGACACAAATGTATAGGTTCCGGCAGGTCTTTTGGTTTCGGTGCTTTCCGATTGGGCCGTGATTTTGTTGGACTGGGAAGCACCCCGAGTCTTTCTTTTAATCTTTGAAACCGTTCGGCGAGTAACACTTAGAACATCTGCAACTCGCTAAAAATTTGAGCGAAATTATTAACCATGAACCTTCAAGTGGTTTTTACTTACTTGTTCTGTACCATTTAATGAGATTAGAGGACCACCGTTTTCCTTCTCAAGAGCAAAAACGTTTGCCCTCCATGTTGTAGACCAAACACGAACAAGAAATAAGATAACAAAACATAAAAAATAGGACAACGAAACAAGAATCCTAACAACCAACGAACTTTACGAAGAACTGAATAGAAAACTTGAATAGAACAACGAAAAACTGCGATTAACCACTCTGAGTAAAACCAAAAATGACAGTGACGTTTGATGAAAAATCGACGAATATTAACAGTCACTAGATTGACTACATCAGTGCCTGTCGCACTATGTGGACGCATTTATTACGTATTTTATCTTTTTCTAATTCAAGGAACTTTGTGGAAGAGAATAACTGACGTAGAGCGTAATTTGGCCTAATTTCGGTAGACATACTGGCTCTTCGTTTTTGTAATCCTTAAAACAAAGATTCTTATGGTAGGTGCTGTCTGAGCTTGTATGATACTTCGGTCACGTGTGTCAAAAGATACATGAATCCAACTATATTACACAAAAATTGAAACTGAACAACTTTTTATAAACAACCTTAACAATGAGAATGTCCTGGCCACTCTTAATTATTCGGTTTTTTTTTTTCGATAATTTTAAAATTAAAAATCAATCTAAAAATTTATGAGGATATTACAAAAATAATAATGTTTATCAAAGAAAAGTTGTAAATGTTTGGGATTTTAAAGGGGTAATTATCTTGTTTTAGGTGTTATGTTAACAATAGGCAGATCAAATTATATGAGATTTAATCATCCTGCAGAAGCAAAAATCATGAAGTCTGTTTTACCTAATCCTCGAATCTCAATGGCAGCTATTACAATTGAACCAGAAAACGTCTTTCAACCAAAATATAATAAAAAACCTCCAGTAGTGCCTAGAAAAAATTCCAAGGAATCTCTTATTGAATCTGGTGTGGAAGAACCTCTTCCCTCGAGTATTATGACCAAAGTTTCAAAATTCGAATATTTAGCACAACAGAATTTTAAGAAGAGCATATCACCGAAAGTATTCTCATCAAATTTAGTCACCGTTAATACTCCGGCAAAAGACGTCCTCGGCAAATCACCCCCAGATCTAAAGAATTTTAGTAAAAATTTGCCACAAAATGTTTTGAATTATTCAGAATTAAATTACAATGATAAGCAGCAAATGAAGACTCCCGACAGATCAATTTTTGGCAAAAAATCTCCTCAGTATGTTAATGTATCTGTTAATGAAAAGAATAACGTAAATAATAAAGTAATAATTTACGAAAATGGATGTATTCCAAAAAATCAAAATACAAGCCAAAACGAACTGAATAATAAAAATGTGGGTACTAAAAATAGCAATTTAAATAGGACGCTTACACCCTCACCAAATTACAATAGGAATCCATCCCCATATTTCAGAAGTATGACACCGAGTCCTGTGTCAAATACTAGTAAAATTGAATATCGAAGAAGTGGTTCAGTTGGAGAACTTAGTGAATATGCCGATATTGCTGAAAATTCGCAAATTAAAAACAATGAAGCGGAAATGAAGAGGGTGCAGGTAATCAATAATATTTTAATAATTAACCGATCTTTCACAATTTCAGTTTGCTTGCAGGCGCAACAAGAGAGAATAAAAGAGCAAGAAATTGGAAAAGCTGAACAAGCTAGACTTGAAGAAATACTTAATATGTGTGTCGAATATGAAAAACAAGCACAGTGTGAAAAAAACAAAGTTACGCCAAATAGGTAAGTAATTTTGCTTATTATATTGGTTTTATAACTAGTTATATTTTATATTATAAGAATAAAAACAAATGGCTCACTTCCTCGTGACAAACGTCAATTTGGGCCTTTTTCCCCCGTTTATGCAACACCTCCACCTTCGCCTAGAGATGCTGAATGGACTTCTACAGATAGTAAAAAGATGAATCACTCATATGAAAATGTAAGCATAAACCGGGATACGTCATTGGAACGTCTTAATGTTAATTATGAAAATGTAGAAGTTAAACACATAGAAGAATATCGAACGTCAAAATGCAGTAGTCCCTATGAAAATATTATTCAACAGAGTAATGCAAATTTATCGTCTCATCATTCGCCAAGAAATAGAATTAAAACGATTGCTTACAGTAATCGAGACGGGTATACTAATAAAATAGTAAAGTTATTGGCGCTTATTAAAATTTATTTATTTCAGCAAAAGCAAGGACACCGCAGAAATAATAGAAAATAAATTCGCAATACTAGAAGCAGAACAGTACCTTCTACAAAATCTTAGCGTAAATGATGAAAAGAGTTCAGAGAGTATTAAGTCTTTAGAAAGAAAAAACCATGATACAAAATTCATTTTCCCTTTAGACGAAACGGCCCTACTAATAACACATTCAAACAACGAGGATAATGTTTGTTATTCAAACAGTGTTAAAAAAATTAGAATAAATAAAATAGATAATAATATTCCACTTGTCAATGAAAAGATGAATATAGAGAAAATGAAAAAAGAACGCAAAGAAATATTAGCTCGAATTTCATCTGTGAAACGACAAATAGCTGACACTGAAATACTTGAAGAAGAATTACAAAGAGATGTGGAGTTAGAACATGCTTTATTATCCGGCGAACATAAATCTAAATTACTTGAAATAGAAAAACTTCAATTTAGAAAAGACAAGTTGATTCATTGTGCGCAAAAACTTGAAGAAAATATGTTACATCGCCAAACAAAACAAGTTGAAGACCAGTTAAAATGTAAAGAAAAACTAGAAGTTGCTCAAGAAAGTATGGCAAACATTGAAGAAAAAATGTCAAAAACTTCAAAAACTGATCCTAATTATGAAGACATTTTTGAAGAATATCTCAAAGCTCAAGAGGTGCTAGATAACGAACGCAAAACATTTGAAGATTTGGAATTTCACCATTTAGAAGAAGAAGCCGATTGGTTAGCAAGTCGAGAGGAAGTCCAAAGAGAAATTCTCGATTTAACCAATAAAATGGAACTGGTTGGAGAACAAGCACAAGAACTGGAGCAACAAAAATATAATATTTCTAGAAGTAATACTTCTGAAGTAACAACCATTAAGAAAAGAAGACACGAATACCTCAAGCAGTTAGAAAAGCTAACAAACTTATTGAAAAAAATTGATAACGATTTATCTGTATTTGCGAACCAAGAATCTGATCCTGGAGAATCTTCAGATAGTGATAGTGACAAGTCTAAAGATCTTGAAAAACAAATGTCGAATTTATCTCTTAATGTTATTCATGACCTAAGTTGCTCCGTGATAATTAGCAACACCAAAAGTTCTGTTGAACATTTATCAAATATGTCTCAATCATTCAATGAAAAATTACTGCAAGAAAAATCAGTACTCGAATCTGGAATAGGTAACAAATGCCCTAGTCAAGATGATATTGATCGGATAAGTAAGGTGACTTCAAGTGCTCCTATCAATATTAACCAAGAACAAGGATCTCTGGGTAGAAAAACTATAGAATCTTTAAAGGATATTGAAAGAAAAAGGCATATTCATTTATGTCAGCAAGGTTAGAGAAATTAACAAAAGTCTTTCGTTAATAAATAATATTTGTATAGGTTCACAGGTTATAGAACAAGAAAGACAAAGGGTGTTGGCTTTAAAACAAAGAGTACAACATGAAGTACGCACCAAATGGGCACAAAACAGACAAGACTGTAATTCAATGGATTCCTCAGAATCTGAAGAAAGACGAATCAGGTATTTACAGGACAAATTTTAAGCAATCTAACATAGGCATAAAAAAACATGGAGAACTTACTTTTTTATTATTTCGTAAGACAACCACTTTTTGCTCTTAATATATTTATTTCAACATTTTTTAAGTTTTCTCATTCCCTCAGAAAAAGTAGTCTTTGCGTTGGTGGTTTGTCCACAGCAATGTTTAGTTCTTGGTTTGAGGCAATTCTTCTGTTCCGAACATTTTTTTTTTTTTTTTAATATACTCGTACATACAGAGATGCTAAATCTGGACCCAGTAAACATACATTTTTGGTATTTTGAAATTCTGAGCTAAAACCAAGAATTCCTTTTTAAACGAGTATACGACAATTAAAATAATGATTTTAACTCGGCACGCCTTATGTACCTATTCCGGAGTTGTCGTGCAGAAGCAAGTTCTTTTGCCTTCACTAATATGGTGGTTTTTCGTTCAGAACTCCTTCTAAAATTTGAATAGTTGCCACTTAGAATTCGGTATTAATTGTAGTTTCTTTCTTGCGTATATTCGATAACAAAACTTCTATCTCTCAAAAAGTGGTCATCATCAATTTTTCATAGAAGAGTGTGTTTTCTCTATGGTGGTGGACCTTTGTGAATCCACTGCATGAATGGTCACACTCAATTCTCATTCCCTATAACAATTCGTGAAAGAAAATTGTACCAGCTTGTAAAGTGGTTAAATCTTTGTCAGATTTATTTTCTGAGAAGTCTTTCTTATAAATAATCAGTTTGGGAATCCAGTACATCCAATGTTTTATTTCCTGAGCTATATACTTAAGTTCATTTCGTTTTCTGTGATCTTCAGCTTTTTTCACCAATTCTTCAGATCGTGCGTACGAGTTATCCGGATCTCGAAATGTACTGCATTGATTTCTGTCCCACCAAACTGTTTCTTCCAAAACTACTTGAAAATATGACGGCCATTCTTTCCCATACGCTGCAACTATTCGTTTATGAATCACTTTAGGCGCATTCCCCTTGTCAATAAGCGATATATATTTTATAACTTACAACGCCGCGGTACTTTGAGTTCACTCACTTTCAGTAAGAACAAGTTAAGTTTAAAAACTTTCAAAATTGTTCAATTTGAATATAATTTCGCGCAGTTACATGTACACACAAATATAACAATTTGCTAAGGTAATTGTAATTTTTAGTTGTCGTCAGTTAAGATATTTAAAAAAAATTGCCTTCATTAGTATATACAGTGCATCTTTTTTAAAAGTGGCCATAGGGATTCCCTTGTTAAATTTTAGACCCCATGTTAACTTATGTTTGAGTAAAAATTCAAAGTTGAAATTTTTACTGGATGTAATTTGGGCCGTCTTATAGAGTTTTATTTAATGCGATTGTCGTATTTCTGAGCGAATGCCACTTTATTCTTTAAAATCTGTTTTCAACTTATTGTGAAAATACATATATTTTTTAATCTAGTTACATTTTACAGGTTACATAGTAAAATTTGCGAGTAATTTTGAATTCAGAACTGTTTTTGAACGGTGACAAACAGTTCTATTTTATGTCGTTTCGTTGATTTAGTGGTAAAAACAAATTAATTAGGACTTTATTAAACAACAATATGCCTTTTTTTTTCCTTTTTATGTTAAACAATAAATTTGGTTGTTTTACTTCATTAACTTAAAAGTCGTATGTGGTTTACGATTTTGAAATTAAATGAAAGTGTGTTTCATGCATGGGAGAACACTGTCACCGAGCCAGCTAGATAGATAATTCGTCAATATAATTTATATGTTACAGCCTTAAATGGTTGTAATATATCCTTCAGTATACCGACATAAAATAATAATGTGCGCGTGTGCGATCAGAGGTCTTTTTTAAGCTCACATTTTCATCAATGTTTTACTACAGGAATGCCATTATATTTCATTTTAAAATTGGTCAATCGAGTTATTTATTTGTGTAGAACCTGTAATATTATGTTCGTCGAAATAATTAGATCTAATATAAATAAATTTAGCAGTAGGTACGTGTTTCAGAGAAGAATATTTAAAAATAATGATAATAAAATACTCATTTTAGTTGGGAGTGTTATACTGTGGTGCTTTCCAAAAATTATCACCCATTGTATGTACAGTACAAAACTTAACTCACAACTGACAAATCAATTTCCGTAATAAACAGAAAGTACGCATTGTTCAGTAAAGAAATTGTGTAATTCATGAACTTTATGGTGTGGGGAAATGTATTAACATATAATTTAATGTTAAATACCTACTTTATTGATAAATTATTATGACCAATCGACTTACCTATAATAATGATTTATAATTTGTTAATAATGTATGTGATTAGTTTAATATAAGAACAATAATTTTAGGTATATGTAGATGATCTTCTCTTTAGGTCTCGTAATTCTTAATACATGTCATAAAGTTCTTTCGATTCTTGTCGCCGTTTTTTGTCGTTTTTAACTGTCTTTGGTTGGAAATTAACATATTAACTCACATTTCGTTACGTTTGTCATGATCTGTAGACAAGTTGTGAAGGAATTAAACATAATGTAATAAATAACATTAAAAAATTTAATAAATGTATTAACATCGCAGACAGTGGTAGTTAAAACTTTGGAATAATTTGAAATTAGTTAAAATACCTTATTTAAGTTACTAAAAATGTCTTCAATTTTTCAGTTTGAATTTTTTTTATTTTTTTTTGTGATTAGCACCAAAATAATTGATACAATGATGTAAATGGTATGCTTTACACATCGAAGTTAATTGACATTTACATCTCTCTACAGGACAGTATGTTGTTTTCATAACTCTTTTTTTTTCGGGCGTTTTGGAAATCATCTCTTTGGCTAACTTAAATACATCGTAAAAATGTTCTAGTTAAAATCGCACTTGATACCGCTGCGAGTTAGACATCAAAACAAGCACGATCGAAAGATATGAAAATTATTATTTTATGAATTAAATAGGTACAAGCTAATGAGGTAACTAACTATACGCCACTGATACCAAAATAACGCCAATTGATTCTGAAGTTCTGGACCTTGAAGTTTAAAGCATTATGGTTCTAGTAAATGAAGATGGAATTTTAAACATCCGCACGTCAGTCGTTCACAAAGCAAACTGCGGATCTTGTTTTATCTAATCTACTAAATGATAACGAATATCAGTAAAATTTTTAATGGAGTTATTCACAAAGTTGGCATGTTTCGAAAATTTAGTTTTAGACGGTAAGCATGGACTTGCCTATTTATTATTTTTGCTAAAATTAGAATGTTATTTAATTTACATGGAATTACTTCCGATTGTTGTTAATCAAGTTTAACAACAATATTTATACTTTACTTACGTTCAAACGTACAACTACGGTAAACAGCTCGTGATTGATTGATCGAATAAACGGCATCCTGTTGTGCTGAAATTTTGAATGGCATCTAAAAAGTTTCCTTGTTCGTGAAGTAAAAGATAATTACCAAAAAAAATCATTGTTATTTAAAATAACACAATTTTACTCTTAACAAGACAAAACAAAACCACCTATTTTTAATGTTGTAGGTACTATTTGGGTGTTTAGACTGTTTGGTACAAAGTGATGTGAAACAGACAGCTTTTACACCCGTTAATTTCCACTTGCTGAATAACTTACTGAAATGTATTCCATTATTCTAAGAACATTTAAAAAAATTATATTAAATACTTGTTATTGGAGGTTAATCACGGAGAAAAAAATGTTTCTAAACGCACTTAACAACATATTATTATTTTTATCCTAGTGTAGTGGGATTACGTTGCACGACGCATTATTGGATTAATTTATAAAGTTGTAACTATCAAGTTAAATACACAGTTTAATAATATAAAGTTTTTGTGTGTAACATATTGAAGTGCATTCATATGCAACAAATATTACATACATAAAGCGAACTTATCACCAAATAAACTTGGGTAAGAAATTTCCACTACACGTACACAATTTGTTTAAGAAAGTGAAAAAATGAGTACATTGTATATATTTAAAAAATGTATTTTACGGTTTTTATGTGAGATTATATAAAATGGCATTTTGTTCGTTACTCATATTTTATTTAAAGTAGTGTTTGTTTTCATTGTTTTTTTTTATATATATATAACGAGCGATCAAATAAAAAACCTAATTATTTTTGGATGTTCAAGTATTTTCTGAACATATAGCGTAGCTAACGTCTAAGAATAATTTCGATCAACAGGTCGAATAGTGACAGATAGTCTACAGGGTGAGAGCAATGTAAAGAAATAACAGAACAAGTTTGGTACTGACAGAAGTGCGATGTATGATGCTAACTGCGCCATACGTTCAAAATAACATTTGCACATAGAGTAGTAACTAGAGGTGTTTTATTTTTGGTCGCCCGTTTTGTATATAGATTTAGGCTGTCCTTTAACGGGAGCTATTGTTGTAGTGTACCAAAAAAGTGCTGTTATTGATACTATTATGAGGTGTCATTAATATTACATTGATCAATTTTATAATTTACAGTGGAGAATTGGACGAACGCCAAATAGATAGGCCAGTATCAAAATCACCTACACCAAAGAATCAGGTAAGCTAATTTAAAATATATAAGTTATAACTTTTATTAGACATATTACACGCAAATACTAGCCTCTGTGATAAGAAATTCTCTTTATTTTCAAAACTCTGATCTACATATATATATATATATATGTTATATTATAATCTCGTATCTTCATTAGAACATACGCGTTACTAGTTTAGATGAGTTATACGTAGATTTCTTAAGTAATTGCTATGAAGAGAGTTTTTATCTTCTAGTTGGTATTCCTCGATTAGGTCTCATGAATCGTTACAATTTCAGTAGCTTTTTGGAGACCTGTAGAAGATTTTGTGTTGTATTTCTGTTTAAATTTATCACAAATGTTGGTAACTGCGATATTGTCCCAAATCTCATTTGATATGAGTTATAATATCTCGTTATTTTGAAATCTTTCATGTAACTATTCCAAGAACATGTATAAGCAAATTTTTTCCTTCTGCAGAATTGGTAACCTCATACGTCAGCAAATACGTATTTTGTGTACCTACTTCTTTAAAATTTTTGTACAGTTGTGGCAGCACAATAAGCCGTTGATAACCGAGCAAAAATAAGCAGTCCACATAGTTAGTTGCAAGAGTATCCGCGCGGCAAGCGGAGAGGCGGTAATTTAAATCACACTGCGACTGTACATTTTTCCTTCGCATAGTGTTAGTAATCTTCATCCAGTGCCTTAATTGCATTGATCATTCCGTTGGTATTTCAATTTTTTTTCATTATCCAGCGGACACTGTTGAAGCTCTTTCAAAGTTCATAAAATTGAAATATACATATTTTATTACCTAACTAGCTGACCCGGTGAACTTCGTCTCACCTACAATTTAATTTTGAATCTGCAAAACCGAATGCTTTGAAAACTTGCAGATGTTTTAAACATATGATAAGCATAATAAATTTTTATTCAAAATATATTTACTTATCCCCTCCAAAAAATTGATGACGTCAGCCCAAAATTTGCCAAATGAATCCTATCTAAAATGTCCAAAATAGGATGAGTCTATACTTGTGATTTATTATTCCATTCATATTTTTTAGATTTGCTTATATAGGGTGACTCAAAAAAATTAATGAATGGGTGAATTAATTTTATTGATTTAATCAGGAACTGCAAGACCGAATGCTCTGAAATCTTGGAGATGCTTTTAATGTTATCATAAGCATGGTAATTTTTTTATTAAAATGTATTTGTTCATTCCCCCTAAAAAATTGATGACGTCACCTGAAAATTTTGCTGAATAAATCCTATCTGAAATTTGCAAAATATGATGAGTTTTTACTTGTGATTTATCACTGCATTAATATTTTTTTAGTTTTGCTTAAACGGGGTGTCCCAAAACAATTAATCACTGGGTCAATTTATTTTATTTTCTGAAAACCGTAAATAAACTTTATTATTATCAAGAATTGTAAAACTGAATATTTTGAAATATTGCAGACGTTTTGAAGTTACTGTAAGCATGTTAGCTTTTTAATCAAAATATATCTGTTTATCAAGCCCAAAAACTTGGTGACATCATCTCAAAATTTTGCCGAATCCTATCTAAAGTGTGTAAAATATCATCAGTATATATTCGTAATTTATCGTTGCATTCATATTTTTAGTTCCCGAGCGTAAGCAAAGGAAGTATTGTAATCGAGTCTGTCGGCCGACTCTCTACTTTTATCTTTTCTCGATCTTTCATGATCTCTAGAAGACGAAGAAATAGGTCTCCCATTTCCGTCCGTCTGTCCGTCTGTCTGCCATCCCGGATTTTTATTAGACAGATAATCTCCGAAAGTACTGGACCGATTGTTGTGAAATTTTGTACTTATATTTGGAATATCATGTAGATGGTAAAACGCTAACCAAAATTTGTCTAATCATCCCCACCACTAATGCGATGACGTCACTTCAAAATTGTACATGGTAAATCGGTTTTAAATTGTATAAAATAACATAGTCCTACACATGTGGTTTACGACTCCGAATTGAGTTTTTACCCGAAACGTCCAGATTTATGAAACAAAATTTTGAAATTTAATTTTGAATCTGCTAACCTGAATGTTTTGAAATGTTGCAGATGTTTTAAGGCTATAAAGAGCATCATAAATCTTTAGTCAAAATATATTTGGTTATCCCCTCCAAAAACTTGATGACGTCAGTTCAAAAGTTTACCGAATAAATCTTATCTAAAATGTGCAAAATATGATGAGTATGTACTTGTGATATATCACTCCATTAATATTTTTTGGAATTGCATATACAGGGTGACTCAAAAAAATTAATGAATGCGTAAATGTATTTTACTGATTTACTTAGGAATTGCAAAACCGAATGCTTTGAAATCTTAAAGATGTTCTAAAATTATCATAAGCATGGTAAATTTTTGATCAAAATGTATTTGGTCGTCCCCCCTATAAAAATTTATGACGTCACCAGAAAATTTTGTTGAATAAATTCTACCTAAAATGTACAAAATATGGTGAGTTTCTTCTTGTCATTTATCATTCCATTCAAATTTTTTCGATTTCCATATACAGAGTGACTCAAAAAAATTAATGAATGAGTGAATCAGGAACAACAAAACCGAATGCTTTGAAATCTTGCAGATGTTTTAAGGTTATAAAGAGCATAATAAATGTTTAGTCAAAATATATTTGCTTATCCCCTCCAAAAAATTGATGACGTCAGCTCGAAATTTTGCCGAATAAAGCCTATCTAAAATGTCCAAAATATGAAGAGTCTATACTTGTGATTTAGCATTGTATTAATATTTTTTTGGATTTGCTTTTAAATGCATATGCATATACAGGGTGATTCAAAAAAATTAATGATTGCGTAAATTTATTTTATTGATTTAATCAGGAACTACAGAACCGAATGCTTTGAAATCTTGCAAATGTTTTAAGGTTATAAAGAGCATAATAAATTTTTAGTCAAAATATATGTGGTTATCTTCTCCAAAAAACTGATGACGTCAGCTCAAAAGTTTGCCGAATAAATCCTATCTAGAATATACAAAATATGATGAGTCTGTACTTGTAATTTATCATTCCATTCACATTTTTTGAATTTGCATATACCGAGTGACTCAAAAAAATAACGAATGCGTAAATTTATTTTATTGGTTTACTCAGGAACTACCAAACCGAATGCTTTGAAATCCACTGCAAAAAAAAAACATAATAGACATGCAGTCGTCACGTTTCCGACAGCGAGGGAAGTACTGTCTAAACTCTTTAGACCAATTTTTTAGATTTGCTTTTACAGTGACTTAAAAAAATGTATGGATCAGACAATTTATTTTATTGAATAACTCAAGAGTTGCAGAAATGAATACTTTGATATCTTGCAGACGTTTTAAAGTTATTGTAAGCATGGTAAATTGTTCTTCATTAAAAATTGATGGGACGACTCACTCGATTTTCGCAGATAATCTTGGAGATACAATACAGTTATTTTTAGTATTAGTTACACTGCACCAATCCAAGGTGATATACGTGTTGATTGTAAATGTTGATTTGGTCATCACAAAATTGTGTGAAGAAAAGACGCAACTCGAAAATGCTGAATATGTTACATTATACTTTTGGTGCGAAGGAACTTCTATCGAAAAAACGTTCGATCAGTTGTTTGACAATGGTTGGTATAAATAAAACTCAGTGGATGCTCATACTTGAAATACGAAGCATCTACTCGAATATCAAATCCAAATGTTTCTAGTTTTTCTAGATGATGCTAATACTTCAATAGGTACCAGTTGATGCTCAAGTAGCATCTCGATACAACAAAAAAGGGAAACAGTGACAGTGTTCAACCATCAAGGCAAAAATCGAGTCACCAAAATATAAGTTAGTATGGGGTAGAGACCTTGAGATGGGAATCTCTATGGCCAGTGAAAGAAAAAACGTACTGCACAATTTATGCATAAATAAAAGTTAATTACCTGAAAAGTTTTCGATATTCCCGCTCTTAACGTGTTCTTCAAACGGAATGCACTTTTTGGCGACGTTCCACGTTCATGAAAGTCCCCATATTTAGTCAAAACTCACTCTTACAACGATCCTGCTCGTTTTCTAAGCTGCTTTACAGACAGCTCAATTAACGCGTAGATGTTCAATTTGTGTCCGGGGAGATACAATGTTTCCAAGTTGGTACTCAGTACATAGAGTAGATGCTCAGGTATATAAGATTATTACTCTTTCTAGGTACTTCGTACTTTGAATATGAGTATCTACTCACTTTTATTCATACCACCCAATGTCTCGCTTCAATGTTTGATTATGTTGATTATGAGCACAACGCTGCTCAACTTCCGTATCCGAATTACCCATGAAATAAATCATTGCGATTTGCACCTGAGGTAGTTCGTCGCACATTTGATTGACTTCGTGGACCTATATCAGCTTGTCGTCTTCTCGGCATTGTAATGAACTTCATAAAACGACACAGAATTATTTTCATAGTCAATCAAATCTGTAAATTTTGTCTTGAGGATTTTAAAATATTGAAAACTTCAAATTAAATCCTCGAATAACGGTAAAGTTTGAGGTTTTGTCGAAACCAACAAAGTGAATATACGTAAATAGAATGGCAGATCAAAATTAATAAGAAACTTTCGCAATGCGTAACTAAATCCACTTTTCTTAAAATAAACGACGTTTTTTGTTACGAAGAAACAAACAACGACTTGAAATGCAATAATACTTTCCACAATCGCACGGAAGAAATTGTTTTGTATGACACGTCAGTCAGACGACAGGTCCGTCAAGAACGCCAACTATTCAAATTCATTCGAAGTGGCGATTCCCATGCAAAATTTTTAAATTTTTTTTATCATTTAGCCGTCTTATTTTTTATAAATATTCTTACATATAAACCTTCTCCTAACAATAAGGAACACGTAAAAAAAAGAATCGTCTAATTCGGTGCAGCCGTTCTGAAGTTATGAGCGTACATACATTTCGGCGATTCATTTTTATTAATATAGATTCTACGGTCTGTTCAACAACAGTTTGTCTTGAGGCGAGCTTGATTGTGTTAATAATTGTTTGATGATACCTGCCTGACTTCCAGTGCTCAGTAGGATTATCGCCCCCAGTTATTAGATATTGTTAACCTTTTTTGAGTATTTTAACGACCCAGCCCGTTTTTCATTATTGAGCGCACTCAGGGACCCATATTTCGTTCAATAAAGTCTCCAGCATTTTTGTTTAATTTTTATATCCGTCTCCGATTATTTTCTATTTTCATATATTTTAATGCACCTCTAATTTCCTCTTTTCCCATTTTATCGATGTTAATGTGTAATATTTTTTTATTCGTTTCCTCTCATTTTCGGTTTCGTACTGTTTTCTTTCCGATAGATCTCTATAGTACTCGACATCACTATAATTCTTTTATTTATTAATTTTTTTTTATTATTATTTAGCCATTTTTTTCCATAAACGTCCTGAATTAGTTATATCTGCCTACAGTATCTGTAATTTCATCAACACTTATCCAAATGTTCTCGTCAGCAATATACTTTCTTATTTTTTCTAGAGTCTAAAAGAAAACTTAATACAACTCTAAAAAATATACGTGAATACATGAAGTTCCCCGCGTATATGCTGTAATGTGATTTCTTCTCGCACTTAAACTTGAATAAACAGAAAAGTGTAATAGATATTAATTGCAATTTTTACTTACAAGCTTTATAAAATATTTCCTGGCCCGCGTTTAATATCACAAAAATGCAAGTGTTGCCGGCACATTTTATCTACTGCATAATTTTAACTTTGATAACAGTTTTTTTCTTTCGGTATGGCGATTTAAAATGTTTGTAGAACTAGTTCACTAACCGAAACTATAACATACTCGTACACTCCATTCTAAAAGTGAGGTCACGCAAAACTAACCAACAAACGTCTCGAAAATCTCTTGAATTTAAATGAAAACATGGAATGCGAGTGAGATTTTTGAAAACCAAAACAACCGAATGTGACGAAAAAAAAAAAGATTCGACAACAATACCATCCTTTATTGCATGAGGTTTTCGACTGGTGCGGATGCAATCAAATTTATTACTTGGCAATCGGCATTTTAAGAAAAGACCAGATATGTACAATTGAACGCGAAATTTATAAAAAGATACTTTAGGTCGTTTAGGTCATAAAACATAATTTTAGGTCACAAATATTTAGTTTAGTTGTTTAGGCAAAATTAATATGGTTCAAATAACGTTATTTTCCATGAAACATATTTATGTCCGAGTGTGAATGCCGAAAAGATTAATATCCTAAAATCCGGGACCTAATAATAATCAGTTGAAACATGTTCGAGACACCGTATTAAGGCGATTTGTAAACATACAATTACATATTTATTAAAATCTTTCTTCATATTAAAAGAGTGAAAAAACATCTTTCGAATTAGGTTATTCTAAACTGAGAATGTTAAGTTTACGCTGTATTTTAAACTTAATTTACACAAAACACGATTTGTTTGTCGGTCGATGTAAATTTATTACACACACACCTTACCTCGTTTCATTCATTTCTCATTCAGCTAGTGATCATAAAACTGGCATACAGTGCGGGTTTTGATTGAAATCACTTTCTACCTAAATAATATTGCATTAAAAATTGTGTAGGAAGCATAGCCGTTAAATCAAAGTAAAATTTTGATTAATCATGTCACTGTGGATCACTTACGTGCGAGTGGAATATAACCCAAAAAAGACACGTCGCAATAAAATTGTGTATAAAAAATCCGTAAGTTCAATTCAAATTACCGTTACCGCACCTATTAAAAAAAATACTGCAAACGATAAATGCTACTAATGTACTAATGGTAGTAGTAAATTTTATTCTAATTAAAACTTATTACCTAATTATTATAAATGACAATCTATTTTATAGTACTTTAAAATTTAAATATCGAATTCAATATTTAATTATGTTAAAATTATATTCTTAATTATTTTATTATATTAATTAACAAACATATATATATGAAAAACTCGTGAAGTAAATATGTAGTTAAATTTTATATAGAATCGTGATAAATACTGATGCAATGACTTGATCTACTTTTGTCGAATGAGGAAAAAATTTCCAAAGTTATATAGTACACGAACCTCTTCTAACGCAGATGCACTAGTCTAACGTCTAAAACTTTTAGAAAAAAGGTAAATGAGTCATTTTATTTAACACTCCATAATATCTCAATACCATGAATTCTAAAGTTATGTCTTATCTGGGTGATGAAAAATGAATGATTCCAACTTTTTGAACGCCCAATATTTCGAGTAAGATTTTATTTTTTATTTAGATCTACAATTTTCAGGGAATAAATAGACTATTTTGTATAGTTGATGTTTTGGAATCTTGACGCTGATATTCAAATACACTTAAATTGTCAAAGTAACTAGAAGAGTGTCAATTTAATAAAATCACCGAAAGACATAAATTGGAAGTAAACGATGTTCATTTATGTATTATTGTATATACCGGGTGTCTGGAAAATGGCGGATTAACTCTCCGCTACGCTCTTAACAATCAAGTGGTGAGTCTGGGAAAAATAGTAAAAAAAATCCTTCTCACATTTTGGTGGAGTTATAATGATTTTAAAATTGGTTCTTTTGCTACGTTTAACAACTAAACAAATCATTCATTATCAGAATAACTAGTAGTAAAACTTTTAGTTAATATTTTTCTCGCCCATAACCATGTTTAATTACCATTTCAGTTGGAATGCACAAAAGTATGGCTGTGTTGTTTTTGTAATAATTTGATAAAATTCCGTTTGACAACAATGTTTGCCTGATATAAAGCGAAGGTGGATTTCAGTCACCATCGTTACTAAGAAACCAGAAAGTAAGCCGGAGATATTCACGCATTAGGTGTGTACAGTGTTGCCAATTTTCCTTTTATAAAACCACGTTTTTTTCGTAATCTACATTATAAAGAATTTTTTTATTATTTTTTTGGGACTCCCGAAACCCCCGTATATAACGTACTGAAGAGTTAATCCGCCATTTTCTAGACAGCCGGTGTACAACCTGAACATGAAGTTAGCAATTTGTCTCAAGCACTGTTGTACTTCTCATAACTACAGCTCGAGACATAGAATGAAAAAATTTGTTACATATTTATGCGTAAAATCTGTGGTTAGCTTTTTATTTTTTGAGTAAAGTTGGTGGAATTTAGTTTGTACGCATAGCCTTTTCGTTTGAGAAAAAAATTGGTTTTATTGTCAAAGATTTAAGTCGTGGTTTGCAAAAAGATTAAGAGTGATGATTATACGCCGATTCCTAAACTTGCTGTACAGCTTAGAGCTTTTAGATGTTTCAAATTTAATCAAAATTAATGACCTAAAATTATTTTTAATGAATTCAAAGTTTTTTAACTACGTATAATATTTAACATCAATCGGTCCTAATTTCGGAGATCATCTATCTAATAAAAATCGACACAGATAAATTGAACCGGGAAACCTATTTTTCGCACTCTACGGTCATGAAGCGTCGAGAAAACATGAAAATAGCCATTCGTCCGATGGACTTTATTCCAATACACTTCTTTTGTTTACGCTGGAGTAGTAAAAACACCTCTTGTTAAGGTCAAAATGGAAATAAGTTTTCACATTGTTTTTCATTTAAAAAGAGATTTGGGAAAATAGTGTATGAAGTTTTGTCAAATTTAAAAACTGAAACCCAAAAAACCGGAAATAATTCACCACTTCAAAAAAATTTGCGCCAAGACGAGTTATGTTGCCTATGATAGGATCAATTACCGTTCTGAATTAATACCTGGAACAAAAAATAAATTTTTGCTATTGCATACTTGCATTAAATTTTGTGAATAAAAAACAAGTTCCAAGAAAAAATGTGGAAATAGTTTTTTTTTATAAATCTATGAAATAAACACGTTTACGATAAATTGTTTATAAGTGGAATATAATTATATTAATTACATGTTGTCAATCTTGTTTTAGACCCGACCAATATCAGATGAAGATTCATCACGTCCTATATCCGAAATCAGTGAAGTCAGCATGGATTTTGGAAATACCGTGGGAAAAAAGAGGACCAGGATCCACACTGATAAACAGAGACCACTTACAAGATATTTACCAATAAAAGGGTCAGACCTGGACTTACGGCAACATATAGAATCTGCCGGTAATGCTTGAATGCACATGTTTGTATGGTTTTCGTATTTTAAAAGTTAAACAGTATTTTGGCAAATACATGGAACAAAAAGTACTGATACGCCAACAGCTAATATAGATCTTATTTATACATTATGAGGTTTGGCCAACGGAAGATATTGTTGCGGCAATACGTTTTTAAGGTCCTTCAAGCTGAAAGTGTTTCATTGTTCCCTGCAGTTTTCACAAATAAGTTCGATACTTCATGTATTTTAAATTTTTAGAGTACTTTGAATATATCAATTTATTTGTTGGCTTACTTTAGATAGTAAGTCAACAAATAAATCTCCTTTAGATAGGAGAAGACACCTATTAAAACAAGCATATAATTTAAAATTCAACTTAAAAAAGGTCCATTTAGAGTGTTTTTGTAAAATGAAGTAAACTATTCTTCTAGTACTTTTTGCAAGGGAGGCATGCAGTGAAAGTGTTTTAGATTTATTTGATTATCAACAATTTCAAGGAACTTCCATAAAATTGACATTTGATTAGACAAGACGTAAAAAACAAACGTAGCTGGTCTAAATTTATAATACATATGTGGTTTTCACCTAAATGATTGGAAACCATTAATTCATGGTTGGCGTTTAGTGTTCAATTTCCTGAAAATCATTCATCCACACCCACATATTTAAATCTTATGAATCGAAATAAAATTTTATTACTTGCGGGAAAGCTTGGTGCGTAATTGACTCTTGGGCCACAATACGTCAACAGTTAAAGTCGTAAAAGATTTATGCATTTTCTTTTTAGAACACTTGAGAAATGTATTATTTAAAATTATAATCGTTTAGTATTAACATATTAAATTAGTATTGTGTTAAGAAATTACCGCCTTACATATCTTGAAACTGCCATCATTCGGGAATAAATAATCGTGATCTTTATTTTTGACGAACTAATGTAAGTCACCGTTAATTTCATTTATAAGCTTGCTTATGCTACGAACTAGCTTATTTTTCTATACATTGTTTCCTTAATACTCAAAACAGTACAAGATCTTAGTTACACGTAAGAAAATTTTCCAATATACATAATTTGTTCAGAGGCTATTTTGGTTTACGTAAATTTCGATGCGATCGTGATCTACTATAATTTCAGATAATAGCCTCCAATAAAAAATTATTATCATAATATTTTACAAAATAATATGTTCAGTATTTTTTTAAATTCTCTTCATGTTTGGGAACTAAGAACAAAAAGCTACTTTTCCAAACTTATTATTATTACCTAGAAGAAAAAGCAGAACTCGATGAAATTGTATATAATTCATAATTATTCTACGATTACACAGTTAGTTTTGTATTTTTTTAAATTTACACACACGGTGTTCAAATTGGTAGTGAACTTTCCACTTAAAAGTGAGGTCTGAAGTCAAACCGGAAAATGAAAACAGAAATATACGTTCTAAATATTATTGATTCTCGAAGGACTGGACCCCAGAATAAAGAAACAAACGTTTGCATGTGATTGGTAATGTTTCTGTATTTTAGTCCTTGAAGTTCTAATAAAGAAGTGAAACGTTGACTTAAAAGACAAACAATTGTTTCTTTATCGTGGGGTTCACTCCTTCGAGAATGAATAATATTTACAATGAATTTGGGGCTTATAATAAGGAGATACTTTCTAAAGTTTTTCAAATTAAAATTTACGAAAATGATTTTGTTTAGACGTACGCAATTTTTGGCAAAAATGTTAAAAAAAGAAAATTGGAATGTAATATGTAATACCAAATCAGTTACTTCACTGAATTTATTATTTTGAGAGAATAGTTTCGACTAAAATCCATGTTTACGAGTGTCAACTACCAAGTAGTTTTTTTTTTCATTGTGCGTCGATTATTAATTTATTATATAAAGTATGACGAATAAAAAACGGCTACAAATCTATTGCCAAATAGAGTTGATTTTTGTTGATTACACGTTATTTACCCCTTTAACAAATAATTCAATTGTAACGTATACTGTAGGTCACCAAGTTGTATTATGTCCCCATGTTATAATCAACGCAACGTCATGCAGGGGTTTTCTACATAAGAAGGGATCCAAATTAAATGGATGGTCAAAAAGATGGTTCGTGTTTGATAGAAACAAACATACGCTCACTTATTACAATGACAAAAGTGAAAAGAAAACACGTGGAGGAGCATACTTCCAAGTAAGTTTATTACCAACACATGTAATTTAACAGCTTAAATTTTCTGTCTTTATACAGGCCATTGAAGAAGTTTACTTAGATCATCTCAACAATGTAAAATCACCAAATCCACAACTAACATTCATTGTGAAAACTCACGAGAAATCGTATTTCTTGATGGCACCATCTCCCGAGGCTATGAGAATATGGGTGGATGTTATTTTTACGGGTGCTGAAGGCTATCAAGCATTTGAACATGGAACTTGATAATTGTGCACAATGAAAAAATATCTTTTTTAATTACCTACGAAGAAAGTTAACTATGCTTATATGATGGATGATTACTTTTATCCAAAGTTAAGCAAGAAAAAAACACCTTTTTTTTTTCATTGACATACGCTTTGTTAAAAATAATAAAAAACATATTTATGGAAAATTGCATAGAAACTAACTTAATTATGTTAAGTAAATAGTAAATATGACCAAAAATTTAATCTTTGAAAAAAGAATTATAATAGTCAAGATAATTATACATAAACAGAATATGTGTCCACATTAGTGCAAGCGTGAAACCAATGTTAAATATTTGCTCAAATTTACTCATGCATCTAATTCATATAAAAAATGTTGCTTAGCTTATAATTTAACAACTTCAAACTTCGCTATGCCCGCGGTGACAAAACTTGATCGTGGACATTTAATTGAGATTTGTTTATAACCGTTCTAAATTACGAATACTTATACGTTTGCAAAATATTTATTTATTGCAATAAAATGGCTTTAATAGAAGTTTTTGAAGAGACATGGTCAATAGTTCTTGAATAGGTGGTAAAATTTTTCTTATCTGTACTGTAATCTTGCTGTTTATTGACTTAAGTGTAGGTAATTTATGAGATATCCAAGCATTTTTTTCCATTATGGAGTGACATTTTTATGTATAATAAATTATACAAATTCATTAATTGATTTTAGTTTAAGAAAAGTACAATTTCATATTATAGACAAATTTTGTTTTGTTAGAGTTAGTAACTTTGAAGCTTCTTTTATATTACAATTCTGCTCCATTTTCTGATGTGCTATGTAGGTCAAACAAATAGTGCCTTTATAACAAGACTGTTTTATACGTTTATAAATTTGCAAAAATTTATGTGTATATTTTTAAAGTATGTGATGTCAGTATGTATTACCAGAAGAAAAATAAAAAGTGATATTTAAATAGGTTTTGTTACATTATGTATATTTTTATTGAAAATGAAATAGACTGCAGACAGAGATACATATCTAAAGACGCTCTCCACATTGCACTGTACACGTTGGTATGTATGACATTTATTTCGTGTAGGCTTTTTTACCACATTTACAACGACAAAGTTCGTAAAACTGTATTGGACTGACCCAGCGCCTGACCTTCTAGCTCTCATTTGCTCCACACATCAATCAATGTAGATCCTAATGTAAATTTCTGAAGTAACAAGTATCAAAATCAAAAATGTTTTATTACAAATTTATTGGTTCTCACATAGTTAATATTAACAAAAAATACACAGTGTAAATCAATTTTCACCTGCACTAAAATTAAATCGAAAATCATTACTTGATGTTATAAAGTGAAATGGTTTGGAATTAATTTTTACTTTAGACATTTCGTTGGATAAATCGCTTTCCGTATTTTCTACAGGAAAGTTAAATTTAAAATCGTTGTCTGAATTCGACAATAGTAATGATTTCTTAACGAATTTGGATTTTTTGCACGGAGACGAAGATGATATTTTCATATTAATGCCTGCAAAAAGTATCTGTATAGTACAAGGAGGTTATAATACACTATGTAAACTTTACCTTTTGATAATTTCCTACTTTCTTCAGTCATCTTAGTTCTGTAATCACCAAATGTTAGTCTCATTAACTGTCGCTTTTTGATGAAGGGCGTAGAATTACTCATTAACGAGTTTAGAACTTTTGTGTGTTCTTGCACTGAAAATATAATTAGTAATTACAAATTTTGTATTGGATTTTTAATATCCACAAAAAATAAATGCATGTAGAGTAAGTTCCCCAACCCTCCACAATAAGGTTCCAAATACACACGTATTAAGAAGTCATTAATTTCACCGTTTTTGAGACGGTTTTATATGACTCTTTACACTGCATTAGCTTTTTAAAGTTTTCTATTAAAGTTAGCGTACTTTAAATTTGTTTTTAAAATTGAATTTTAAACTTAACACTGCAGAATTAATAACATTCAAATTTTAATTTTTATACGAAGGATCTCGATTCATAATTAACTTTATTTAGCAATCCAGGATTTAAATTCCTGCAATATGTTTTTCACCCTGACTGACCTACCATGAGCAAGTAAATAGTTATAAAGCTACCTATATCATTCGACGTTACAACATAAGAACCTTGTACAAATCTTATGCATATAACATGTGATCAACATAAAACGTTCTAAAGTTGACGCTTAACAATCACACTGTTTCATCCTTCGTTATGGTAAGCATAAAAACACAAGGAACACAACTTGCACCAACTTGAGGGCGTTCTTTGTTCATTGGAACTTACAAATTTCTGCCTGTTAACATCAATCAACTCGTGTTTCTTTGAGCTTTGTGCAACAAGATGTATCTTATTTTTAAACAAAATCTCTGGGTGTCTTAATGATGACTGAATACATGACCGTTTTGAAATAATTGAATATAAACTGTTCAAATACAAATATGCCAACAATAGTTTTCAATTTATGGAGAATAATTAACATCTATTTATAACATACCTTGTTTCTGATTTAATTTACCAGAATTTAAGGATCTTTGTAGCTGCTGTATACACCAACACAACTCTAATTCAAACTGCTCTTGAATTTCTACATTATCGTTGTGGCTTCGATCAGCAGATTCGGTACTTGATCCTGTATCATCTTTTTTTGCTCTTGATAAGATCAATTCATTCTTGCCATTTGATTTATTAAGTTTGGGTAACTTCGGTTTCATTGGCATTGCGATTTACAATTTTTTACTATTTTAATAGATATAATTTATGGTAGTGGGCCGTATTTTCATTAAGTACAAACAATATAGGTCCAAACTGCTTGCTTATTCAATGATTGGTAATAGCAACTCTGTGCTACTAACTATCGAGCATTCTTTGTTTATTATGAAATTTAGAAACCTTTTTACTAACTACAAAAACACCCCAACTCACAAGATAACCTCAAATATACTGAAAGGCCCGCGTGCGCATGCGTCAATACACATGTGACTGATTTTTTTTTTTGACACTGTTAGAAGTAATTTCACCACGAAAGGGTACAGGGGCGGGGCTTAAGTTGCGCGACTTGTAGCCGGGCCATCAGTGGCGTAACATCGATGCATTGAGAAGGGAGGCTCGGCTGAGTTATACTTCTTTCAAAAACAATTAAAAAAAGAGCAATTTCTCCAAAAGAATACATACAACCATTTAATAAAAATAAATTAATTTGTTTGTTAAAAAAATAGACTTACGTAACAATAAATTATGATAAACTATTTCTTGTACCATGATAAACTATCACACAAAATTTGGTATTTTTAATTATTAAACGAGTTTATAGTGTGAGGGATTATAGCATGAGTAAAAAATTTCACGAACCCCCTCATTATAAACCAGTATCATATATTATTTTATAGTCGACTAGTCTTAAATCAACAGTTAAATCTTTAGATAAAAGCGGGGTTAAAACTCTGAGAATAAGCAACCTATGACTATAATTATATAGTTTTTAATTTTCTGGCACAATTTATCGATACCGTAAAGTCGGATTATAATAAGGCTTAACGTTTTCTGTCTTTAACGTCGAAGTAATAATCACAGTTCATATTCTAGCATAATAGTCGTTTATAACTAGAGCTTCGACTGTACCGTAATTTAACAGTTATTATTGCTCACTAAAAATTACCTTTTTACTTCTTTTACTTACTTTTTTATTCAACTCATACATCAAATACAGCACTAACAATTGTTTAAATTCTTTTTCTATAATGTCAACGCTAATAAAATAGAAAAGTGATATTTTTATTAACCGCAATAATATTTTAATATTTCAAAATCGAAATATTCATCGCCGCTGCCACTGCTTGCACGATATTTGTAAGGCCAAACCAAAACAATGTTCTGCGCACTCCCACCACCTGTACCCTTTCGTGTTGAAAGCTACTCTAACAACTATTTGACAGGGGCGGCTGGTGCCGGGGGGCACAAGGGCACGTGCCCGTTCAAAATTACAATGTCTACAAACACACTGGACATGGCAAAATAGTAATTTTCAAAATTATTCGGAAATTTGTGTCATAATTATCAAAACTAATATATTTATGTCGCTCCACTTGTATAAAATGTATCAAAACTTACATCTAAAGATGTGTCTTGGATACATGATATGTTATTTCTGATGAAATGCTGATAAACGCTGGAAACAGAGACCGAATCATGGCTGGTTTAGACGTTTTGTTTACATCGCTGCCATGGAAACCTCACGTCCTAGCCGCCTGAGTGCTCGGCAGGATTGAGTTGCCATCGCCGATTTTAATTTTTATTCTGCGCAAACACGTATGATAAATATTCTTGGATAATCTTCTCGGTAATACCACAGTAGATCAGTAACGAAACTTCAGCAATATTTGCGGAACGGGTGTGACCTTGGGAGCCCGTTCCCGGGAAACACGAAGATTCAAATATTTCGTAACATTCATATGTGATTCATATAATACGAGCCCTAACAACTAAATGTTCGGACAAACTAACCGGAGCGTTCAAAAACCACTCTTTATGAATTAATTTTTAATTTTTATTATCAAATCACATAAAAATAGGAAGCTAAGATTTCAAAGAATAGTTTTTAATAAAAAAGTTGAATGTTTTACTTTACATAGAATTTTAATTCAAATATGACTGTGGATTTTTCAGAAAAAGTGAATACACTTTGGCAACTAATTATTCGGACAAATAAATAAAAAAAATAATTTTCACTAAGTAGGCGGTGTGAATTGTTTGATTGTTAATAAATATCATTCTCCTCTTCCTGCTTTACCTAACTGTTTTGTAAGATCCATAGAAAAATATATATATTCTTTAACAAAATGGTTCGTGGACGTCCACTTGAAAAATCATTACGTGCACTTATTGTAAAGAAGTATTGCCAAGGTAAAAAAATTCGGGAAATTAGTGAAGAACTGAATTTAGCAAAGTCCACTGTAGCGGATATAATCTCACATTATCGCGAAACTGGTGGACTAGACGTTAAAGGAAAAAGTTCAGGAAGACCGAAATTAGTTTCAGAAAGAAGTCAAAGGCTCCTTGTAAAACTTTGTAAAAAAAATCGAAGAAATACATTGCGGGACATAACAGCACAATGGACGGATGCAATAGGGCATAAGCTGTCACGAGAATGTTGTAGGAAATTGATTCACAAGTCAGGATTAAGTTTTTATAAGGTAATTTTTAAGTTTTTGGTTTACATTTGTTCCACCGTGCCGTTACAGGCCAAAGAAAAACCTTTAATAACGGCAAATCAAAAGAAAAATAGGTACAACTGGGCAAAGTCTAAGCTGGCATGGACCATGGAAGATTGGTCAAAGGTCATTTTAGTGACGAGTCAAAATTTGATGTGGGCGTGGGAGATTTGCGGAGAAGAGTGATAAGATCAAAAAGTGAAGCGTTCAATAAAGACTGTTTAAAACGAACTGTAAAGTTTCCTAAAGGAATAATGGTGTGGGGTGCATGTCAGCTAAAGGGTTGGGGAATTATGAATTGGTGGAAACGACTATTAACGCCATGAAATACCAACAAATTTTAGAAAACAGTTTGTTGCCCTCTGTTGAAAAACTGTATCCGGACAACGATTATATTTTTCAACAGGACGATGCATCATGTCATACCGCAAAAAGTACTAAGAAATGGTTTGGGGATCATGATATAAGAGTCCTTTCATGGCCTGCGAACAGCCCTGACTTAAATGTCATTGAGACACTTTGGCACGACATAAAATCCGTTTTGCGCAACAACCCCCAACGAACACTCTTAGGTTTAAAAGCAAAAATCGACGAAGTTTGGGCAAGTTTTACTCCTGAATACTGCAGAAGTCTTGTAAGTACTATGCCTGCAAGGATACGCGCAGTAATCAAAGAACATTTAGTTGTTAGGGCTCGTACTAATAATTGTACACAAAAATAAAAATGATTGGCATGTACTAGTGACATTGGCCATTTTTTTCTTTCTTATAAATTATTAATATATTCAAGCAAAACATTTTTATTCAATTTTGACGTTTTAAACTGCGTTTATTAAATCTTTAACAAGTCTGAGAAATAAGTTGTTATCCATAAGTGAATTGCAAAATTTATAATTCACTCTTAATATTTTTTAATCACTGACAAAAAAATAAAAAATAACTTCAGGAACATAAACATTTTGCTTATTATTTTTAATAGTTTTCACAGAATACAATTTGTTTACAATTTTCACTAAAAGGTTGCCGCAACTAAACCAGTATTGTTTGACATATTTGTTTGGCTCTGTGAGACGTCAATTTGGGAATTGTATAAATCCCACACCAATACAATTCCAAAGCGTGTTTCGGAAACTATTTACTACAGATTATTTCGATACGAGTGCAAGAACCAACTGTGAAACACTATTTTATTTGAAATGAAAAATTTGCAAAGGTGTACTTTTAAACAAACTTCCACAACACATCTCCCCTGTATTTCAGCCTCTTCAACAATCATTAAGTGATGTGAGTTACCGGAAACTCACCTTGAAAGAACACAACTGTTTATGGTATGTTTGTGGATACTCATTAATACGAAAATTCTTACACCACCACTTCTGCGAAGTTTGTTGTGAACTTTGCACATTCTTACGAAGTGTTACATCCTGTTTTAATTGTGTGACATTTTAAAGTCTTCAATGAAGATGTGATTTTTGGCGATTTAATGATACCACCACCTAAACATTTTTCAGTTTATACTCCGATGGGTAATACATTTTGTGAGTTTTTCCCAATTTATGCACCGTAGTCGTTAACTGGTTTGCGGCTAAAAAACGAACCATACAAAAATACCATTCCACCACCCCTGCAAAGACTTTCCTCTTGATTACCTTGTTTTAGTTTTTATTAGTTAGAATTTTTTACACACTAAAATTTAAAAATAAATCTTGAACCGCTCAAACACGTACACATCGAAAATTAAACTATTTCGTTTAACCTGCAGTTTGTTGACCTCTTTAGCCTGGAATTTTCTAGTATTTTTTTACATGTATCGTAAGTATCTATTACTTTGTAAAAATAAATTTTACGTTTGTTTTTAACCCCATAACCCAACATCCCGTATGATTCCGTAAATAATATGACATTTCTTGTTGACAAAACCAGACACAACGTTCACCGAAAACCTTAAAATGAAAAAGAAACTATGTTCTTCAAGGTCGGAGCACCTTTAGTGACGCTAGTGACCTCTTTATGTCGTTCCGTAAGCTCCCCATGTATTTCTTATGGAATCAGCTGAGACTTTCATAGCCCTGGTAATACAGACAATAAGAACAGAGTGAGGAGTCTCCATCCTCTACCAAGCAGCCAACTTCTACCAACCCTCTCAATGCGATTTCGCAGCGTTGTTTTTTTTTCAGCGTGAAATTTTAATTCAAATTTAGTTACCACGATCTTAGATCATATAATAAATAGATACCACCATGCCGTGTTCTTTCCCTAGGATAGCCTGTGACGACATCCTCCTGTCACACATCTCTCTCGTGCATGGAGGGGTTACAATGAAGCTATCCTTGCCTGATCACTATTTGAATTTTGCGCGCCTAAATTTTAGGAAGTATGTCTGAACTAACTTCGGAAGAAAGATGTTGACAGCTTGATTTTATAAATAATTCACAGTAGATAACGAAAGGAATAGTAAATTATTGGGCAGCAATTGTGATCCTTTATGACTACATCACTTAAAATAGGATCTTTCTTCTAAATTCTAAAATTGTTTTTTGTACAACAACTCGAAAGATAGGTTAGAAGAAACATCTGTCAAAAGCGATTTGTTGCGGTGGTGCGGTACAAGGGTGGAAGTGAAATAGACATATACAGATGAAATGCATATAACAAAGATGAAGATGTGGTGATCACACAAGGATAGCATTATACTACTCCCCTTGACGTAGAAAACGACAACATACACCTTCATGTCTAGTCACAGCTTTCAGTTT